CATGCATCTATCGAGACTCACAGTTCTGTACCCTTAAAATGTGTGCATGTTATTGCATATACATCATTCCTAAGGAAAGTTGATTAGGAAAAGAACAGGCAAGAGATCTTAAAGCATCTGAAGCTTAGAGGTGTGGAATGCTTCCGTTCTATATGTGACCTGACCCAAGAGGTTCTGCATCGTATAAGCAGAGAGCAAAGGGTACAGGCAGATTCCAGCAGAGACAGAGTGCAGGGCTCAGGCAGGATTAGGAGCAGTGGAAGGTCCAGTTGGAGAAGTCTGTGGCACACAGCCATGCCGTGGTGGCCTTCGTTGCCAGGCTGGGTGTTTAGACTTCCGTGTGTAGATAACACAAAATGAATGGGTGGTGTTCAGCTCAGAAGGGGGATTGAGGAGGCTCTTCTGGCTGCAGTGAGCAGGAAAGCTCGGAAGAGGAAGGATTTGGAGGCGTGGCACCACTTCTGCTGCTCGCAAGCCAAAAACAATCCTGAAATGATTTCCCAAGCAAACTTCTTTATAGCTCATGTTGCTGGCCACTGGGCTGCTCCAGAATCCCAAACTCTTCCCACCCCACTGCTCCATAGGCTCAGTGGTTCCTCACAGGCACTTCAGCCTCTACTGGCATCTCCTAAGGGAGGCTCCTACAAAGCGGTTCTGGCCGAACTCTGCCCAGAAAAGAGCTGAGAACAATGATGCTGGCCAGACCATACTGTGCAGTAGTGGTCCTGCTGCTGCTGGCTGGAGTTTCCAGGACTGGCGAAGGGAATTCTAATCCTGGGTTCATGGCCAGAATCACCAAGAAGGGCCTGGAATATGGTAAGGAGATTGGGGTCTTTCTTCTGATGCCTATTTTTTAGCCCAACAGAGTGCTGGGGTCACAAAAACAGAACCACAGGCTGGGGTAATGCCACTAGCTAGCTGGCTTAGCACTTTGGATGTCACCCTCTGGGCCTCAATTTTCCCATCTTGAATAAGGGAGAACAAGTAAAGGACTAGATCAGCCTTTTTCCTACAGAAAAAATTGCTGAGGGGAGGCAAGGATATAGCGTAGTGGTAGAGCACTTGTGTGGCAAGCACAAGGCTATGAGTTCGATTCCTCATACAAAAAAACAAAAACTCGGGCAGGGAGATGGCTCAGTGGAATAAGTGCCTGCCTGGTAAGCACAAAGGCCTGAGTTCGATCCCCAGTTCCACAAAACAAAACAAAACAAAAAAACCTTTCTGGGAAGGACAGGTGTGATGGCACATACCTGTAATCCCAGCACTCTGAGGCAGGAGGAGTGCCATGACTTCAAGGTCATCCTTGGCTAAGTGATAAATTCAAAGGCAGTCTGAATTATACAGTGAGACCCTTTCTCAAATATTAACCAACCAACAAACCAAGCCACACCAGCGTAGGATATATGTATGTTAAAATACAGATTCCAGGGATCTGTCCAACATTGACTAAGGCTGGGATGGTAATCTATACTACTGACTGTAATGAGTTAACGTGAAACTAAATGTAAAAAATTACTTTGCTCAACTTTCTGTGACCCTGCTTCCTTGCAAGACCACAAGGAGGCTCGGTGTACCATCGATAAATCATCAATAGACTGAGAGCAGAATAGGCTTACAAAATAAATCAAAGTAAAGGTCAAAGTGTTTCTAACTATACAAAACCAACTAAAAAGCGTTGCTATGGTAATCAAGACCAGTGTACACAGGTGTACCTTAAGAATGAGACAATGCCAGGTTCGCATTCCTTTATGTTTAAAATGCCAACAAAAAGAAAACTAAAGGGAACAATAAAGCCAGGAGGCTGTGCCCAAGCTCCCAGGGAAAAA